CAACCCACCTCCGCCACCAGCCATGCCACTAATGTCGCCACTGACAACATCCCCCACGTCGCCACCTGCCACCACTGCAATCGGCTCACGTAATCTCCTCCACGGCAAGCACAAGAGAAATTGCAGGTCGCCGGCAGCGTGGACCATTACCCTCCTGCCGCGCCGGCCCTCGTCAGCTGCCACTAAGCCCGTCGCTGCGACAACCTCGTCTTACCGTGGCCAACAGAAAGGCCGAAGATGAACAAGATTTTACAATGTAGAATTTGGGGCTTCTTTTTGAAAATTTAATATTTTTAAAGGACTCAAATGCAATTTTATGAACTTCAATATATTACAATTTAGTTCATAGGTCAAATTTATAATTTATAAAAATTTCAATACTTGCACATTAATGTTATGCAAATTGCATGTTATTGTTATCAAAAGTGCACATTAATATTTTTTATCTAACATTTTATTTATTTTGATTAAAAATAATATTTTTATAAAAAAATATAAATATAATATTTTTTTTTATAGTTTGGTCGGTCCGGTTATTTCGGTGGCTTTAAAAAAAATAAAACTGACGTCGTACCGAAATAACTAAAATTTTAAAGGTAAAAATAGTTAATCTAACTGACATGTAAAACTCGATCCCAAAAACTTAGTTCCTATCGGGTTTGGTCGCTATTGTACACAGTCAATAATCTGCAATCCGTATAACATTAGTGTGCACTCAAAGTGCAACTATTTTTTTATGAAAATATATTTAGTATTCATATTTTTTTTGTCCAATATTTTTTATTAATTTTTGTTGAACATAAATAATACATATAGATAAAAATATATAAACAATGTATGGTATAGTTCGTCCGCTTATGTAATTTTTTTAATAAAGAAAAAAATAAATCGAAATAAGCAAAATTTAATATTTGCGAAAATGCACATTATTATATTAATGTGCATTTTCGAACGCATTAACATGGTTGGTCTAACAATATGGTGCAGTCCGACAATCACTAATGTGCATCATGTTGTATACAAATTTTAATATTATATGCATACAAATAACTTTTAATTTAATATTATATGCATACAAATAACTTATAATATTTATTTACATTTGTGAAAATGAACATGGTCGAGCACTAGTATATGTATAATTGCTAGCAATCCATTAAATAAAATCTCATAATTAATTATACCTACGTGACACCTAACTTTCCAAAAACTGATTCGGTTATTTAAGACAACAACGGTTACATTTTATATTAATTGAGTAATAATTATATTTTTTTGTTGTATCATATAATAGTTATTATTAAAATTAATAATTATGTAAATAAATGATATATGAAAGTTTCATAAACACAAAAATATTATATTGTAAAATTTTTGCTCAAGTTATTCATTCTAAACTCAATTATATATATTTTAATCTGATTAAGCAATTGTTTTTTGAACAAATTAATTTATATTAATGTCATAATAAAATACCTTCAAATCACATAATCAATTGTTATAATAAATTTAATATTTTCCAACAAATTAATTTTTCATGATTTTTCAAAATTATAACAAATATTACGTTATTTATTACATTTTATGCAATCAATATAGTGATTCAAATACAATCAAATAGTTACGTACTATTTATTTTAACCAATGATCAAATTTTAAAACATTATACCATTATTTATATGCATAAATATAACTTATAATACTCTATCATTAAAAGTAAATACCATTATCTAACTTATAATTTTAATATTATATGCATATAAATAACTTATAATATTTTATTTGTATCTTTGCAAATGCACGAGGTCGAATACTAGTAAAAATAAAATAAAATGCGTATTTAACAATATGAACTTTGTCCAATTTTTTGATAATCAGGGCCACACAATGAAGCGCACCATAAGAGGGTGAGCCTGGTTGCACCTTAGTGAAATTTTATCCTAAAACCAATTAGTGATGGGAGGAGTAACCCACTAGGCTTATTTACCCTATCAAATCATTGCGGGACAACTCACAAGTGATATTCCAACAAATTTTACATAGCTAAAATTGGATTAATTGTCTATTCAATGAACAGACCCAAGTCTGCAGGAAATAATGTATCAGATAATTCCAATGTGGCCATGACAAGATTTAAGGATTGAACATATCCTTAACTGAAATTCATTGCCAAGGAATAAACAGATAGAAAATATGGCCATGGCATTGATTTTCTACCATGGGGCAATGTTCATTTATAATTGGTGGGGTGGGGTGTGGATGAGAAAAATTAATTGGGTGATTTTTTTTGGAATGACAATGTTATAGTAGCACAATAATGCTCCTCTACCCACGGTGAACACACGTTAATATGTCCACCGCTTATGTGGCATGCACACATTGGTGATGTATTTTTTTGAACATATTAACATCACCAATGTGTGCATGCCACATAAGCAGTGGACATATTAACATGGACTCACCGTAGATACAGAAACATTATTCTATAACAGCACCAGTACTTGTTTGTCCTGAGACATCAAAATTATTTAAATTTTTTCACATGCTCCAACTGATAGAATTTTGTCAGTGTTGAGTTCATTTGTGAACATCATGCTCCGGTTTCGTAAGAGATCATGATTTACAAAGGATTTATGAACACATTAAATAACGAGTGTCATACTAAAATATATAATAATATATTTTTTCTTATAAAAAATATTTAAATTTACAGCCACTTTTTCTCAATAATTTTAAATTTATGAAAAAAATTAGCAATCACCCATTAATACACGAGTATTGTACTAATAAAGGTAATTTTAGTATGGCAATGTTACATTTAAGTCGTCCATATCACGGAAATAAGTATATTCGGATTTGATTTGATTTGTTGAATAAAGAGAGTTATGATTAAAAAAAATAATTAATTAAAAATTTTAATTTGATTCTGAATTCGCGAGAGGATATGAATTAGAATATAATTATTAAAATTAATGAGAAAAAAGTAGTGAACTAATGTTGATAGTTAAAAATACGTGAATAGATGAATAGTAAAATTTGTTGAAAATGTGCAATAATGGTCAGTTAATATTATTTAATTATATTGACAATATTGAAAAAAAGTAATCTCAAATTATATTTGAGATAGATCAGTAGAAAAAATATTCTTCTCATTCTAACCCAGAAATGCCCAAATTGGTCTATTGTGTAACTAGTTGGTTAAAAAGAGAATCCTACTGCAACACAGCACAGCACAGATCCAATATTGCTAAACTCAACATGATCCAATATGCATAAAAAACCAATCTAGATAACACATTGTAATGAACTCCCAACAGAACAAACAAATAACCACCAAAAATCACCAAAATAGAGAGAAAAAA